GTCGGGAGGTAGTACTACCTGAAGACGCCATAAGTAAGTAATCTCCCTTTGGTGAAAATCTCCCCCCCCCCCCTTTTTTCTCATTTACATTCACCACCTACACATCATGAACAAAGTAAAGGCATGTTGTTCGAGACTAAGTCTGTTCAAACAGTAGTTTGTTTGAATTGATGTTTGTTCAGCAGAGATTTCTTTCGAATGGAAATATTTTTTCACTTTTTTTTTAAAACTGTATATCCGATACCCCATAAATTAAAAAAAAACAAAAAAATCTCAATGACAGCAAAACTTATCGAACTTATTTTACTTTATATTATAGTGGGTGTGTTTTTTAGACTCAATTCACCACCAATAATTATGTTTTTGAAACATTCGAAACATTTTTGTATCCATTCGAAAGAAATTTCCGTCTAAAAAAATTCATTTCCAAGAAACTTCTGACAGAATAACATTCCTTTGTACGAATTGGTTTCTAAAAAAAATTCCGGTAAGCTCAAAACTGTCATCTACAGCAGGTAATACATTATGAAAAACTTGTGCGGGCCAAAGAAAATAGGACAGGACTTGTGCGGGCCAAAAGAATATAGGTCAGGGGGTAAGCTATGAAGAAAATAATAAGAATAAAGAGATTTTCGTTACCTCGCGGGCCACAAAGGGGGTGCTGGCAGGCCTGATCTACAGAGTCCTTCCCTTAAAGCTATCAGTCAACATATAGTCACCCATTCATGTGATGGACACAAAATTCCATCCAGGAAATCTTCATCTCTAGTTTATCAGGTGACTTGCGATGATTATAAAATTATAATATAATTTGAAAATAATTAATTTATACATGTACCGTAATGCCGTAATACGTGAAATGGTTCATGCAGTAAAAGTCTCTCACAATCACAATCACCAATTAAAAAAAAAAATGTGCAATACCGTAATCTTTCAAACAAAAATAAGAAGACAGGGTTGTGTTGTTTTTTTCAATGGTTAAACCATTTCTTATTTCAACAACAATCAACGGAAGATAGAGGTGGGGGTTATGGGGGGGGGGGGGGGGG